CCACGGCACCGAGACTCCCACAGGGCACAGCTCCCGGGGGCTTAGCCACACGCGCCCTCAAGAGCCCCTCGGAGACCACGCGCACCGTGTCCCCCGGTCAGACCCTGGGCTCCCTCCCACAGGCGGCTCCGTGGCACCACATCAGCAAAACTGCCCCCCCTCCCCCGTTTGGGGCCTGTTCCTTGTACAGCTGCTTTTGAGAGTAGTGCAGGGCCAGCGGGACCCGGGAAAGCTTGACTTTTGGGGTGCTGGGCCCCGCTGCACTTCCACTGGAGCAACAGCGTCTCAGGGCCTCTCGCAACTGAGGCCCTCAGAGTCATCGGCCTTCCCAGTCCCCCCCAGCAGGCTCCTGGTGCTCCCCACGTGCTGCCCGGAGGGCCCCGCCCCACAGGGACGCCCGGTCCAGAGCTGCTCCCACCTTTGTTCTCACTGGTTTTGCCGAAGCCGGTGATGAAGCACTTCCGCCCGGCCTGGAACGTCTGGCCGGCCATGGGGAGACACGCCGGGCGGACCTGCCCTGCAGGGAGGGAAGCACCGAACAAGGACAGAGACGTTAGACTGACATGCAGGTGCTGCCACCCCACTGTGCCCCACCGCCTCCCAGCATCGCCCCGCGGCCGACTCAGCCACCGCCCCACTGCGGCCCACCGCCTCCCAGCATCGCCCCGCGGCCGACTCAGCCACCGCCCCACTGCGGCCCACCGCCTCCCAGCATCGCCCCGCGGCCGACTCAGCCACCGCCCCACTGCGGCCCACCGCCTCCCAGCATCGCCCCGCGGCCGACTCAGCCACCGCCCCACTGCGGCCCACCGCCTCCCAGCATCGCCCCGCGGCCGACTCAGCCACCGCCCCACTGCGGCCCACCGCCTCCCAGCATCGCCCCGCGGCCGACTCAGCCACCGCCCCACTGCGGCCCACCGCCTCCCAGCATCGCCCCGCGGCCGACTCAGCCACCGCCCCACTGCGGCCCACCGCCTCCCAGCATCGCCCCGCGGCCGACTCAGCCACCGCCCCACTGCGGCCCACCGCCTCCCAGCATCGCCCCGCGGCCGACTCAGCCACCGCCCCACTGCGGCCCACCGCCTCCCAGCATCGCCCCGCGGCCGACTCAGCCACCGCCCCACTGCGGCCCACCGCCTCCCAGCATCGCCCCGCGGCCGACTCAGCCACCGCCCCACTGCGGCCCACCGCCTCCCAGCATCGCCCCGCGGCCGACTCAGCCACCGCCCCACTGCGCCCCACCGCCGCACTGGGACGGGGTCCTCCCCTTGCCTGCCTGCTGCCTCCTCTCCATCCCTGCACCCTCCCAGGCCCAGGCGGTCTGGCCGGCCAAGCCAGGCAGCCGCAGGCCCTGCCGGCCAGGCGGGGAGTCAGCCTCACCCGACATGGTTAGGGGCGAGGCGAGTTTCACCAGCGCGATGTCGTAGTCGTCCTGGTCGTCGCTGTAGTTGGCGTTGATGATGATGTGGGAGGCAGTGATGCCCTTGGCGGGATGCAGCAGGTCGGAGGCCCCGGCGTAGACTTTCCACTCGTCGAGGATCTTCACGCTGTTCCTAAAGAGAGGGCGAAGCGGCGCAGTGACCGCCGGGAGCCGCCCACCCCGCCCAGGCCAGGCGCGGGCTGCTCTCCCCCCGGGCCTGGCCCGCTCTGGGGCTCGGGACACGGGCCGGGCTCCCCGCAGCTGGGCACTTAGGCGCCCGCTCGGGAGATTCCAGCTGATCAGCAGAGCGCCCAGCGCCAGGAGCCGCGCTGCTCTTGGTGGTGCACATCCGCACATGCCACTGTGCGCAGAGTGTTTGTCCCGCACGTGGCTGGAAGAGCAGCGAGCGTATTGGTCACAGCCTGTTTCGATGAGGTCGCCAGGGCTGGCGTTAGGTTTGCCGGGGCCTGGGGCCGAAGTGGGTGTCGGGGCTCAGGTTACAGGCCCCCGGTTAGGGCTTTGGCCCCTGCAGCCCAGGGCAGTGGGGCTTGGGGGGGTGGAAGCTTTGCTCCCCTCCCCGGTCACTCAGTAATTTCTGCTGTCAGATGGGCTGGCCACTGGTCTAGCCCCAAACCCGCACCCGGGCTCTGCACAGCTCGGCTGCCAGGGCACAGGGGCTAGAATCGCTCAGAGACCAGCAGCGACCTTGGTAGCCCTCAGCTAGCTCCTGGTGGCCCCACTGTCCCCGAGCGCTGGGCTTTCGGGCCAGCTCCCAGCCTCCCTCCAGCACTTAGCTGCCAGGCCTGGTGCCAGACCTTGGCCCGAAAAGGCCCCTCCCCATCTGGTTCTGGCCCCGTCCCTGCCACTGGAGGGCTGGCCGGATGGGGCTCGGGCTGAGCCGAACCAGGCTGCGTCGGTCAGCGCTGTAACTCCCTCTCGCCGGGCCGCGCCCCTGCTGGCTTCTCCGCGGCAGAGACCTCGGCTGGGCGTTCCCACAGCTCCCCGCCTGCGCGCTGTCCATGCACCCACCTCAGCATCGCGCCCGAGAGACCCCGGCTTGGTGCTAGGCGGGAGGCCGGTGCCCACTAGGGACCACAGCCGGGCTCCCTCTAGTGGCTCCCAGCTAGGGGAAGTTCTGCCTCCGCTCTCCCAGGGGAGCTGCCGGCGGCAGGGCCAAAATCCCAGGACAGGGCAGGAGCCAGACTCTGATCCCAGGTGACATCAGCGTCAGCCCAGAGCCGCGCCCGCTGCTGGCGAGCCGGTCGGCATTGCGCCCCGGGGCTGCGAGCGGCCCGTCTTCCCGGCCACACTTCGGGGAGCACCACTTACACGAAGAAGCAATGGGCAGCGGTCAGCACCCACTGGGCATCGATGACTGTGCCCCCGCAGATGTGGCTCATGCCATACTGGAGACTAACTTGCCAGGGCCACTTGCTGGCCAGAGCTTCACTCCCCCCGATGATCCGGCCAGCGATCCTCTGCCCGCAGCCTGCAGGGAGAGACACATGCTAAGGGTGCCAAAGCCCCTCCCCGAGGGAGCCAGGCGGGGAACACAAGCCCAGTGCTAGACCACCAAGCCAGGCCACCCGCTTTGCACACACAGAGAGGGGGTGGCTGCCGGGGGAGGAGCCCTGCGGAAGGGGATCTAGGAGTCATAGTGGCCCACAAGCTAAACAGGAGTAAAAGCAAACGTGATTCTGGGCTGCATGAACAGGAGCGTGGTGGGCCAGACACGAGGAGTCATTCCTCCCTCTGCTCCGCGCTGATCGGGCCTCAGCTGCAGGATTGGGTCCCGTTCTGGGCACCACACTTCAGGGAAGATGTGGAGAATTGGAGAGGGTCCAGAGAAGAGCCACAAGAATGCTGAAAGGTCTAGAGAACATGAGCTAGGAGGGACGGCTGAAAGAACTGGGCTTGTTTAGTTTGGAAAAGAGACGACTGAGGGGGGACAGGATAGCAGTTTTCAGGTATCTGAAAGGGTGTCTCAAGGAGGAGGGAGAAAACTTGTTCTCCTTGGCCTCTGAGGATAGAACAAGAAGCAATGGGCAAAAACTGCAGCAAGGGAGGTTCAGGTTGGACATTAGGAAAAAGTTCCTGCCTGTCAGGGGGGTGAGACACTGGAAGAAACTGCCCAGAGTGGTTGTGGAATCTGCATCTCAGGAGATATCTGGGAGCAGGTTGGACAGACTCCTGTCAGGGGTGGCCTATCTAGATGGGGCTGGGTCCTGTCCTGAGGGCAGGGGACTGGACTTGACCTCTCGAGGTCTCTTGCAGTTCTAACAGATCACACCCTGGCAAACTGTGCTCCTAGAGAATGCCCAACAGAGGCAGAGCATTTCACACAGTAGACCAGACCAGGGGTCCATTAGTTCCAGCATCCTGCCTCCATGCCTTTCTGCGTCAGGGGAACTGCAAAGGAGAATCCAAGACAAACCCAACCTAAAACCCCAAGACAACATAGGATGCTGGCTGCATGCTTGGGGAGAGAGTGTCAAATCATTGGCTACATCTAGACTGCAAGCCTCTTTCGAAAAAGAGCGTCTAGACTACAACCAGGACTTTCGAAAAGGCAAGGCAGTCTGGACACGCTCTTTTGAAAAAGCCCTGTTTGCATTACAGAGCACATTCGAAAAAAGGCGTCCTTGCTCGTAAAACGGGGTTTTCCATGGTAGAAAAAACTGCCGCGTTCTTTCAATTTACTTTCAAAAGAACGTGGCAGCAGTCTAGAGGCAGGGGACGTTTTTTCGAAAAAACCCTGTAGTCTAGAAACACCCATTCTGTCTACAACTTTAAAGTTCAGCTGGACAATTGGACTCTCTAACCCCTGCAACTTTGAATTGCATGGCCCGTTACATATACCCACTGTGACATAGGGTAGCTACCATGCTAAGCAATATATATTCCACTGAGCTGGAGGGGATAGAAACAAACACTTTAAAACATCTGTGTTGGTAGGTAGGTAGGTAGGTAGGAAGGAAGGAAGGAAGGAAGGAAGGAAGGAAGAAAGGAAGAAAGAAAGAAAGAAAGAAAGAAAGAAAGAAAGAAAGAAAGAAAGAAAGAAAGAAAGAAAGAAAGAAGAGTTCAGATTAGTTGACATGATGGAGCTGGTCAACATTTTGTGAACTATTATTTTAATTGAGATTTTGAATTTTCAATGAAAAAGTTTAACTAAAAAAGTGGTTTGGATGAAACTCTCACTTTTCCAAGCAGCTGCAGAGAACCTGGGAGCTGGCATCAATCCCCAAAGCCAGTAAAACCCTTTCAGACCATTCTGACACTAGTTCTTCTGGTGGTTTCAAGACCCAGCCCAGACCCAGCTCCCCTGGCACTAAGTCTACGCTTTCCCGGCAATGGTAAAACCTCCCTCTTACTTGTGCATCGGAGGGAGACGTATTTTCCCGTGGGGCACCTGGAGCTGCTGGAGAGAACAAAAGCAAGGTGAGAAGAGTCCGATTGGATGGCCCCTCCCGTTCCTGCCATGCTCGGCTGGCACGTAAGCAGCACAGATGGTCTCTTGGTCAGTCCGGGGGACCGGGAGCTTTCCCGCGGGTCCCCTTTCTTTCCCTGCGGGGCGCCTGTCTCACAGCCGCCCCCCGGCAGCATGCACGGTGGCCAGCAGACACAGGCTGACCCGTTTGGAGCCACTCTGGATTTGCACCGGTGCAAACTGAGGCCAGAGTTCGTTGCTCCCAGGTGCTTCCCCTCCCCTACGTACCAGGCATGGGTAGGCCAGTCCCAAAGCATGGGCCATGGTGCAGCAGCTCAGGCCTGCAGGGCTGTCCCGGGGCACCCGGCACTCACTGCACTGCCAGGTCTCTGCAAACCGCGCTGCGGCCCAGACGGCTGCTCTGGCCATCGGAGGGGAGGGAACACTGGTGCCCATCCTGGCCCTCCCTCCCCCGCTTTGTAACTCGGACACTGGGGAAGGGCACCGCCCTGTCCCGTAGGCTCCCCAGCACAAGGGAAAAGGCGACAGAGCCGCGGCCTTACCTGTTGAGGCTCTGCTGGATGGTGAGATGATCCTTGGTGACACTGAGGCTTTTGCCAGGGAAGGGCACGGGCACGTACTCCGTGAGCGAGGAGCTGGGAGGAGACGGAGCAGTCACGCCATGCACGCTGACTGTGACATGGTCTGTGCCCACGGCCCTCGCACAAACCTACACGGTGACTGTGATGTGGTCTATGCCCACGGCCCTCGCACAAACCTACACGGTGACTGTGATGTGGTCTATGCCCACGGCCCTCGCACAAACCTACACGGTGACTGTGATGTGGTCTATGCCCACGGCCCTCGCACAAACCTACACGGTGACTGTGATGTGGTCTATGCCCACGGCCCTCGCACAAACCTACACGGTGACTGTGATGTGGTCTATGCCCACGGCCCTCGCACAAACCTACACGGTGACTGTGATGTGGTCTATGCCCACGGCCCTCGCACAAACCTACACGGTGACTGTGATGTGGTCTATGCCCACGGCCCTCGCACAAACCTACACGGTGACTGTGATGTGGTCTATGCCCACGGCCCTCGCACAAACCTACACGGTGACTGTGATGTGGTCTATGCCCACGGCCCTCGCACAAACCTACACGGTGACTGTGATGTGGTCTATGCCCACGGCCCTCGCACAAACCTACACGGTGACTGTGATGTGGTCTATGCCCACGGCCCTCGCACAAACCTACACGGTGACTGTGATGTGGTCTATGCCCACGGCCCTCGCACAAACCTACACGGTGACTGTGATGTGGTCTATGCCCACGGCCCTCGCACAAACCTACACGGTGACTGTGATGTGGTCTATGCCCACGGCCCTCGCACAAACCTACACGGTGACTGTGATGTGGTCTATGCCCACGGCCCTCGCACAAACCTACACGGTGACTGTGATGTGGTCTATGCCCACGGCCCTCGCACAAACCTACACGGTGACTGTGATGTGGTCTATGCCCACGGCCCTCGCACAAACCTACACGGTGACTGTGATGTGGTCTATGCCCACGGCCCTCGCACAAACCTACACGGTGACTGTGATGTGGTCTATGCCCACGGCCCTCGCACAAACCTACACGGTGACTGTGATGTGGTCTATGCCCACGGCCCTCGCACAAACCTACACGGTGACTGTGATGTGGTCTATGCCCACGGCCCTCGCACAAACCTACACGGTGACTGTGATGTGGTCTATGCCCACGGCCCTCGCACAAACCTACACGGTGACTGTGATGTGGTCTATGCCCACGGCCCTCGCACAAACCTACACGGTGACTGTGATGTGGTCTATGCCCACGGCCCTCGCACAAACCTACACGGTGACTGTGATGTGGTCTATGCCCACGGCCCTCGCACAAACCTACACGGTGACTGTGATGTGGTCTATGCCCACGGCCCTCGCACAAACCTACACGGTGACTGTGATGTGGTCTATGCCCACGGCCCTCGCACAAACCTACACGGTGACTGTGATGTGGTCTATGCCCACGGCCCTCGCACAAACCTACACGGTGACTGTGATGTGGTCTATGCCCACGGCCCTCGCACAAACCTACACGGTGACTGTGATGTGGTCTATGCCCACGGCCCTCGCACAAACCTACACGGTGACTGTGATGTGGTCTATGCCCACGGCCCTCGCACAAACCTACACGGTGACTGTGATGTGGTCTATGCCCCCGGCCCTCGCACAAAACTACACGGGGACTGTGATGTGGTCTGTGCCCACGGCCCTCGCACGGAACTGCAGGACGGCTGTGATGTGACCCACAAACTGCTCATTCACACGTACCCCAATCTGGGTTAGCAGCAAGGTCTTCATCCCTGGTGCATTCATAGCAGCCCCTGCCTGGGTCACCAGAGGGCTTTGAATACCAGCTGCCCAGGGCACGCAGCAAGGGCCTTGTGGGTATGTCTACACTGGAATGAAAGTCCTGTGGCGGGACTGCCACTGAACCACGTCAGCCAACCTAGGCCTGCGGAGCTAAAAACGCTGCGACCTTCCACGCACGCGGGATCCCTCCCGGGTCTACGCACAGCACCAAGGCCCCACTCGGCTGTTGGGCTGCACTGGACACATCCCCGTTAGCTGGCAGCTGCCGGAGCCGGTTGGGGACCAGCCACTGGAGGGCAGCAAAGGTCCCTTCTCTCCAGGCGGGTGCCCTAGTCCCCAGGCTGGTCTGCACGGGGGAGGGGGGTTGCCTTGCTGCGCTGACAGTGTAGCTGTGCCCCTGGAAATGCTAGTGCACCCGCACTGCACCAATGTAGAGTTAGTTGCACGGTTGCCTGTGGAAACAACCTGGGTGAGCAGCACCAGTGCAAGTCGCTTCTGCGGGGACCCTGTGAACCGGCGCTGGGGGCAGTTGGCAAGGGGCTGGCACGTCTGTGCTGGGGGGAGGGGGCCCATTGTAGACGAGTCCCCTGGTCCCCCTTCCAACACCTGCCATGCACCAGTCGGATCCATTTCTTGAAAGGACCAAGGGCTGGGGGGCAGACACGCTGGCTGGTGAGTCGCCCCTTGAGCCTTTGGAACGCTCCCTGGGTGGGGCTGGGTTCCCCGGGAGATTACCTGTGAAATCCCAGCTGCTGGCAGGTCTTCCTGGAGAAGGAGTCGTTCCAGGCGCTGCTGCAGACAGGCAGCCACTGGCTCTCGGCGCTGGAGTAGACATGGAGCAGGGACCGGTTCCACCCAAACCGCACTGCAGGCAGGCAGGAGAGAGCGGATCAGTGGGAGGGCAAACGGGGCCCGGCTCCAGCCTGCGCCCTTCACCTGGGCCTGGCCAAGAGCAAAGCTGCCTGCACCAGGGTGAGCGTGCCCCGCGGGGCGGGACGGGACGGGCTCGGGCGAGCGGGGATGCATGGACTGGATGTCAGGGGGTTTTCCAAAGGCTGGGGCTGGCCTCCCCCCTCCCCCACATGTCCCTCCAGACCCCTCTTTCCTGACAGAAGGGGGCATTTCACCACTGCTCACCAGCCCAGGGACAAAGGCCAAAAGCTGGGACGGCCGGGACGGGGCTTAGCAAAGGGCCAGGCCTGGCCAGCACGGGACACGATGGACCCCACAGGGCCTGGGCCCCGTGCCCTCGTGCCAGCACAGGCATCACTGCACAGGCCTGGCCTGGGACTGTCTGCGTCGGGGGGCAGGAGCCTAGCACGCAGGGCGGGGGCCAGGGCCTGGGGGAGCCGCTGCGCCCCCGGCGAGGTACCG